ACTCACTCACTCACTCACTCACTCACTCACTCACTCACTCACTCACTCACTCACTCACTCACTCACTCACTCACTCACTCACTCACTCACTCACTCACTCACTCACTCACTCACTCACTCACTCACTCACTCACTCACTCACTTACTCACTCGCTCGCTCGCTCACTCACTCACTCACTTGCTCGCTCGCTCACTAACTCACTCACTATCATCATCATCGGGATCCTCATCATTCTTTCTGCTTCAAAATCACCACTTAATAAATTTCATCACTTTAACAATTGTTATAACGTCTTGTTTCAAATCAACAAGATGATCTAGATGTTGTTGTTGTTGAAGATGTTGTTGTTGTTGAAGATGTTGTTGTTGTTGAAGATGTTATCGTCAGCGATGGTGTAGTGTGTGATTGTTTGCACGCTAGATAGAAATGGTTCTTGAGTTGTTTATGTTGTTGTCGATTATGTTGTTGATGCTGTTGTTGTTGTTGATGTTGTTGTTGTTGTTTTTAATTGTGTGACTTGGGGTGGTGAAATGATAGATGGTGGGATAGTGGAATGATAGATAGTGGGATGGTGGGATGGGATGATGATGGAATGATGAGATGGTGGGGTGTGAACGGTCAAACAAAACTGCAAACAAATAAAAAAATAATTGATTGAAAAACAATAAAGAACTATCATCCCATGGGTCAGAAGTGTATGTGTGTGTACGTGTGTAAGCATGCATGTGTGTGAGCGTGTGTGTGTGTGTGTGTGTGTGTTTGTGTGTTTAACTTTAATGATCGTACGGTTGAATCTGAGTTTTTTATTTATTCATGGTGAAAGGTTTATGGGAGGAATTTAGTGAGTGAATTGTTTGGCGAGCGATCAACAGCTTCGAGCACTTCAAATAAATCATAACAGCGCTCCCAGTGTAGTTGTGTATGAATGTAGTTTTGTGTTTTTTCAAAATGTTTTATCGTTTCGACATTTGGACGATTGTTTATTCATTCATTCGTTCGTTCATTCGTTTATTCATTCATTCGTTTATTCATTCATTCGTTTATTCATTCATTCGTTTATTCATTCATTCGTTTATTCATTCATTCGTTTATTCATTCATTCATTCATTCATTCATTCATTCATTCATTCATTCATTCATTCATTCATTCATTCATTCATTCATTCATTCATTCATTCATTCATTCATTCATTCATTCATTCATTCATTCATTCATTCATTCATTCATTCATTCATTCATTCATTCATTCATTCATTCATTCACTCACTTATTCATTCATTCATTCACCCATCCATTCATTACGAAACACCGGTATCTAATAAATTTTTAATACTCGACAAATACGTAGCGGAAGATTTATGTTGTACGATAATTAACGATGAGCTCCGAGTTGTTGTGTATGTCTGTCTGTCTGTTTGTCTGTCTGTCTGTACGTGTCAAATATGTATGTATGTATGTATGTGTAGGTGTATGTATGTAAAAGTTGTGTGTGTGTGTGTGTGTTTGTATGTAAGAATATATGAGTGCAGGTATCTGAGTATGTATGTATTATTCAGGTGTGTGTATTTATATATGAATGTTTGTATGTGTAGTGTATGTATGCATGCATGTATGTATGTATGTATGTATGTATGTATGTATGTATGTATGAAAGTATGTATGTATGCGTGAGTATTTATTTATATATGTACATGTACACGTGTGTGCATGTGTGTGCTTGTCAGCGCCGGCTCATCTTAATGTGTTAATAAAATGATTTAGAATGATGCAAGCCAGCATCCAGCTGCATGTTTGCCGAGCCTCGATTTTAATGCTGCTAATTTCTGTTCAATGTTGTTGTTGTTGTTGTTGTTGTTTGGTGTGTAACATGCTGTTGTCATTGTTTGGCACGAAATGCCATTGCTACTGTACTTAATTCAACAAGACAACTTCCATTTAGTTGTTGTTGATGCTTCAATGGAAATATTTTCATTAGGACTGAAATGAAGAGTTGCTATGCAGCTTGAAATTGTTGTTGTTGTTGTGTGTGTGTGTGTGTGTGTGTGTGTGTTGTTTCCGATTGTATCTTTTGAAGGTTTAACCATAATACACACGCACACACACATTCAAAGCAAACACATAGACATACACACACACGTACACACTCACACACACACAAACAAACTCACACACACACAAACAAACACAATGAAGAGTAAGAATGACGAAGGTACTGATGGCCATCATTAATATCCCACGTTCGAGATCAATGTTGCTGTAGCTTGCGTGCTGGTGATTGCTTCATCTGGTCAGTAGAGTCGAATGTCAGCCAATTGGTCTGCTGCCGGCCGTTCGTGTTCAGTGTGCTGGCGAGTTATTCTCTCTACCCCTCTCAGTGTGTCTGTGTGAGTATTCTTGCGGGGGTTGCTAGTTGGCAGTGGTTGCAGAACTCCATTCAACATGTTGCAGCAGCAGTGAAAGCCAGCACGGACAAATCACAGATCCATATAAACATATTTCGATCCGAACTAATCTTGTTCATAACATTATTTACGCATAAACATATATACACACCACACACACATCTACACACTCACACACACACACATCTACACACTCACACACACACATCTACACACACAAAAAGAGACACATCCAAACACACGAATAGAATTCATACACAAATAACACTCATCATTGCTTCTGCTTTCTAAACCAACAAACGCGTCACGAAAATGAGGAAGATTCCTCATCCGCTCCATCGATCATGTCACCAGCGACATGCTCCTCTTGGCGGTTGTGTTGATGATGATGTTTGTGGTGAGGTGGTGGTGATGATGATGATTATGATATTTGTAGTGATGATTATGATGCTTGTGGCGAGGTGGTTATGATGATGATGATATTTGATGAGGTGATGATGATGATGTTGATGATGTGTGGTAAAACTAGCGACACTGACAATAATGTAGCTTGAGAAGTGAACTTCAAGTTCCAACTCGCTGCAGAAACGCCAGCCACACAGGAACGCTTCCATCGCCTCTCTACGCACGACGACATCAAGTAATTGAAGATCTTTCATTCATTATAACTCAATTAAACATCACACACACACAACACACACACCGTACAACAACACACTGTACAACACACCATACAACACACCATACAATACACACACAGCACATCATTCAGCACACCATACAACACACCAACAACACATTACACAACACATCATAAAATACATCAGGATGTTTTTTCAATTTAACTACGACTTGCACTAAACTTGTGCAAACAGTTGCTGGCTGACAACAACAACACATGACAACAGCAACCCATGACAACAACAACCCACAATCCAACCCGACGTTGTGTTATTTCATGCACCAATCCTTTCAAACGCAAGATAAAGAGGGAAAGAGGAAGAAGATAGGTCTGTAGACATTTTCTTGATTGATTTAGACATTTTCATAGACAAGCCACTCAAGCAGACATCGTAATTCAAAGATATGCAACGTGTTTCAATATACAACAGTAGCAGCAGCAACAGCAACGACAACAACAACAACAAACAACAACAAACAACAACAACGATAGCAAACAACAATAACCGCAACAACAAAAACAACAATGATAACAAACAACGACGACAAACAACAACAACAAACAACAACAACAACATTTAAGATAACAAACAACTACAACAAACAACAACAACCACAACAGGCCATCATCGCTGGCAACAGAAGATGATGAGATCCAGTGACAGATCCTTCGTGAAGAAATGAATGATACATGACAATAAGAAGTAACAGAACATTTACGTTGCTACGTTTTATTTGTTCGTCAATCTCACTATATGTATTTGTTTGTGTTTGTTTGTATGTACGTGATTGTTTGTGTGTGTGTGCATGTGTTTGTGTATGTATGCGCATGTTTGTTTCGCGTGCATGTGTTTGTGAGTGTATGTGTGTGTGTTTGTTCGTTCGTTTGTGTGTATGTGTTTGTTAGTGTTTGTGTGTTTTTTGTTTGTTTATGTGTGTGTGTGCTTGCTTGTTTAGGAAGGAAAGGACATAATGCGGTAGAACGGAGAATGAATCAAAAACAAAACTGACAAATGCATGGGAGGTTAAGCAATCAGTTTTGCTTTGCGGAAAGTTGACAAGAATTACAACAACCATTTTAAAATAGAGTCATAAAACTAGCAAGTGTTAACTAAAAGAAAGATCGGTTAAGGATGCTGTGATGTTGAAACTAAACTGAAATGTTCTTTCAACTGTTCATCACCATCCCATTTAATTATTCTTCACTTATTTGCCGCTCAATAAATCATCCTTTCGTTGTTTACCAATTGTGATCATCCATTCGTACGGAGGATAATTTATTGCGTTGTTTTGAAGTTAGCTGCAGATGACGCCTGGTGGTGTCGACCGAGTGGCTGGTGTGGCGACTACAGTTTTATGGCGATGTTTTATTTGTTTTTTTCATGCATGCCTGAATCTTAACCCAGTCGTAAATAACAGTGGCGGCGACAGTTGCGACAGAGGCGTCTAGACGACCGAAAGTTGAAACATCGGCCAGTAATGTTAATAAACATCCTCATCTTACTTGGACAACAAGACGATGAAACTCGCGTAACATTAACACAGCATCCTACATCTTCAGATCGGTACCGGAGGAATGACTCTTTTGAGAGTAAGAAGGACAAATGACTTGAAGTACGGAAGCATGGTTCGAACGCAAACAAGACCCAGATAAAATGCTTGTTTGAAAAGACAGCAGTGGGCTATTTCGGCACCTTTGCCTCTGTGCGCTGTTTCTTCTGTGGAATGATTCGAAGCAGGACCTCTGACGACCACCAAAGAATGATGCTGCTTGCTTCTTTCATCAACTTGCTCTATCACTGTGATTACACTGTCCGCTCTATTTGCAGTAACAACAACAACAACAATAATAATAATAATAATTACAACAATACAGCAAAGACAACAATAATAACAATAACGACACTAAGAACAACAACAACAAAAACACCAACGACAACAACAACAATAACAACAACAACAACAACAACAGTAACAACAACACCATTATTCACGAGCGGGCAAGCAAATATGGAACAAGCATGCCTCGATATGCTCAATAACTCAGTCTAATTAGGTGGTCTGCAGGAGATGCATTCAAGTAGGTACGTTGGTGGTGGGGTGTGTTGGTGGGTGTGTTGGTGGTGGGTGTGTTGGTGGGTGTGTTGGTGGGTGTGTTTGTGGGTGGGTGTTTTTGTGGGTGGGTGTGTTTGTGGGTGTGCTTGTGGGTGGGGGTGTTTGTGGGTGTGTTTGTGGGTGGGTGTGTTGGTGGGTGTGTAAACAAGGTTGGTAGGTGGGGATGTTGTAGAAATGTGTAAGGCGGGTAAACTCGATTAATCGTGTCAATGAGATAACTTCTCTATAGACCGACACCTGCGTAGAACTACTGAAACTGAGGACGAGCTAACAAGTTAGGCAAGACAGACGCACACACACGCACACACACACACACACACACACACACACACACACACACAAGGACACATACACATACACACACGCACATACATACACGCACACATACACACACACATACACATACACATATATACACACACACACAAGGACACATACACACACGCACATACACGCACGCACACGCAAACACTTTGTTAGCAGTTGAACGTTATTTCGCATCTGCCTTAATGTGTGGCGTGATCTTCAACCAACCATCCATCAGCTATTAGAGAAAATTGTGATAGAAAAAATTAATGAAATGAGTAGAAATTGTGAATGAATAAATGAGTGAATGAATGAATGAATGAATGAATGAATGAATAAATAAATGAATGAATAAATGAATGAGTGGATGAGTGAGTGTTAAGAAGAGATTAAACAAAAAATAAAATAATAAACCGGAAGATGTGGGCAATGAGAAATGGATGGATGGATGGATATTTAGATGGATGGGCGGATGGATGGATGGATGAACGAATGGATGAATGAAATGATGCATGGACTGCATGCATGGTTGCGCGGATTGACTGGTCATCAATTAATCTCATTTGGATGACAAGTCATTTTGTGGAAAGGCAGGTGACAACCATCCCAATCTATAAACCTTTCAAAGCTCCCTGATTGATTGCTTTATAAATTAAATATATGCCATGATGAATGGCGATTGTGCAAATGAATGTGCCGGGATGAATCGGCCAACATACTTCTACGTGAACATGCATATGCGTGTGTCTTTGCGTATTGGGGAGTTAACGTGTGCGTGTGTGTGTAGTTACTTGTCTGTCTGTCTGAAACGACAGTTTTGTGTTGACGAGACATGTTTCTGAAGCCAGTTTCTTGAGTGTTGGTTTGCGAAGCAGTTCAGTCGTGCATCTCCAAGTTTGCCTATGTACGCATGTTTGTGTGCACGTGTGCGTGTGTGTGCTTCTCTGGCTGTGCCTTCGTGTTGTTGCGTCATGCGAGTTCGTTTGTTTGCAAGGCTATGTAGGTGTTTGTCTGTTTGTTTGTGGGCGGTTCGTGCATGCGCTGACGTCACTCATTGAAAAGTCCATCCCAAGTTAAAATCATCATCATTCATATTTATAAGCGGACGGAAATAAGTTGAAACAAAATATTAATCAAAAACCGAAAGATTTTATATTTATAAATGACAAATGATTATAAACCATATAAATTGATATGTTGATTGATTGAATGATTGATTGAATGATTGAATGAATGTATGATTAATTGATCGATTGAATGATTGAATGAATGCATGATTAATTGATTGATTGATTGAATGAATAATTGATTAATTGTATGAATTAATGATTGAATGAATGATTAAATGAATGAATGATTAATTGATTGATTGATTGATTAATTAATTGATTGATTGATAATTGATTGAATGAATGAATGAATGAATGATTGATTGATTGATTGATTGATGGCGTGATTAATTTATTCAAAACCATCATATCATATCTGAGCTGAGAAAAAGGCGATCTAAAAATAAGCAGACATCCGCATTTAACTCCTTCCTTCGGCGTTTATTTTTGCACCGCTAATTTAATTGAATATTTTAATTCCCAATTAATTGCCTATAAATGGCTGCAAGTAATTAAATGGGACGACGCTGTGAAGTTGTGGTGTGGTGTTGTTGTGATGTGTGTGGTAGTAGTAGTGTGGTGTGGTGTGTGTGGTGGTAGAAGTAATGTGGTGTGTGTGGTAGTAGTGAGTAGTGTGTGGTGTGTGTGTGTTGTAGTATGTGTTGTGGTGTGTGATAGTAGTAGTAATGTGGTGTGGTGTGTGTGTGGTGTGGTAGTAGTAGTAGTGTGGTGTGTGTGGTGTGTATACAGGCACGCTAACATTGCAGATTGTCTCATCCTAATTGGTGAATCACTTGCTTATAATACAAATATTAAAGAAGTGAACGTTTAATATTTATTGAAAATAGATATTAAATTAATAATATAAAATTTGTGCATGTGAGTGTGTGTGTTTGTGAGTATGTGTGTCTGTTAGCTTGTTTGTATGTGTGTGTTTGTGAGTATGTGTGTGTGTGTATGTCTGTGTGTCTCTATGTTTGTTTGTTTGTGTGTGTGTGTGTGTGTGTGTGTACGCAAGCAGCACAAACGTCAGAATTCGGCCTGCGTGTGTTTTATGAAATGTTTAAAAATAATTTAAAGCGTTTAATGTTTTTTAATAACGACAACGTCTGCAAGACTCACAAGTGTATAACTGCAGGGATGGAGGTGGGAGTGGATGGATGTATGCATGCATGCACATGTAGAACTCTGTTAAACCGACAAGGTGGTGATGATGACAACGATGGTGATAATGATGACTGTGGTGATGGTGGTGATGATGATGACTTTGTTGATGATGATGATTGCAATGGTGATGATGATGATGATTGTGATGATGATGATGATGATGAGTAGCGGAAATGGATAAACTTTTTTACAGATTCATTTGTCCATATTTTTGAAATGCTAAGCAGTCAAATGATGCATGCATCAATTTTCCATCCAATTAAGGAGGATACCAATAAATTTTATTCATCTAATTATTTAATTATATGAATTTTATTCATCTAATTGATTTCAATTAAAAATGGAAGAATGGTGATAATAAATCAGGCTGCTAATGGACCAAATGATTCATTGAGTCAATTAATTAGTTCAATAAAGATTGTGTCTCGATAAGAATGAAGATGATGAAGAAGATGATGATGATGGTGGTGATGATGATGACGATGGTGGTGGTGATGATGATGACGATGGTGGTGGTGATGATGATGACGATGGTGGTGGTGATGATGATGACGATGATGATGACGGTGATGATGACGATTGAGATGATCTCTGGTTTCATGTCTACATGAGAATGTGTTTTAAAAGTTGATACGCAATCATGGATAGATAAACAAACATCATCGTATTGAAATAAAAATTTGTATCTAAAATAATCTTCCTTATATTACTCTGACCTGCATAGCATCGTTCGTGCATTTGAGTCCAGCGCCAGTTGGTTATTAGACTTTAACATTTTGCTGATAATCATCTCAACTTACTAGCGTGTGTTAACGCTGATGTATACATTGCAAAGTGTAGGAACATAAGTTGTGAGGACGATCAGTCTGTTGAATGAAGTCTGTGAAGATTGTTACGGAGCAGGACAAAAGCATCTGCTCATCTCTACTACTCTTTCGCTTCCATTCAACCACCCACAGTCATTCAAAATATGTTACATCTTATTACTCTTAGAGTAGCCAGCCAAGATGATGTAAGAACTGCTGGCATTTTTGAGACGCTTCGCTTGACTAACAACATGGCCCGACGATGTTCGCTGCCCGGTTGGAACGTTTAGTGCTGAATTATATTTGCATTTGCTTCATTAATCTTTCATTAAGGTTCGTCTGTCCTGGAGTTTGCACGGTTTACTAAGTTTTTGATTTGTACGATGCTCTATAAGCAGATTAAATCTGTTTACTAATTTTTATTAATTAATTAATTAATCTTATTTTATTTGTTCTTTAGATTTATTGTAAATTTACACGAACAAGCTTATACAGCTTATATGTATGGTATTAATTATTTATTGAGGGTTGGCTGAAAAAAACACACGACGTTGTGCTGAACACTTTTTACAAAATTTTTTTGTTTTTTTTTGAGAAAAAAAAATAAAAAATTTGAAATAATAAAAACTACGTACAAAAAATCAAGTAAAATTATAAACTTTTTCAAATTTAAGTTGATCGTGTTGATGAAATCCTACCCAGTTAGATTTCACGATTGAAACTGATTTGATGCCTAACTCATGTTCATGATGAAGCCTTTCCTGGTGCACTGAAGAGCAGCAGAAGCAGAATGAGCTGGCAAGACACCGACGACAACCGATCGTTATCCGTGGCATTCCTCTTACATGCATGCAATAGCGTTACCTGCTATTTTGCTTCAGGATTTTCATATCGCTTTTACTTTTATTCAGTTAGCTTTTGTCATTAATTATAAACAATTATGAAACGTTTACATTATGTTCGTTTACATTATATTTCAAAACTTGGTTTTGCTTCATGCAAAACATTTGAGATAACCGCATGAACGTGTGTAACAAACTTATAGGGTGTTCAATGAAATTTTATTAAATAAAGTTTGAGTAAGTTAATGGCATGTTGTAAAAACATGTTGTGCTTTGCTGAAATAACATGCAAGCAGCTGGTTTCTTTGCGTTATTAAGTGATTGGAATACATATTTTAATTTAATTTTGAATCGTCAAATCACAATTTTTTTTCAAATACAAATATACGTTAAATGATGCAATTCGTTTAGCTAGTTCTAGATGATTCATACAAATTGCACATGATTCCGAACACAAAAACACGAATTATAATTATACGCATGGAGTGGAGTGAAAATGTGCAACGAAGATGCAAGTGAATGAAAGATGAACTAACAGCGTTGGATGGAAAGAAATCTGGAGTGAGGTACTGAGAGGAAGTTGTCGTCACCGATGTTGACGATGATACTGACATTTTGTTGTTGGTGTGATGCACTTGCTACATAAGCTACTCTTGAAACGTTCGTTATCAGTGTTAGTGTTGTTGTTTTCTTGTGTTTATTTTTCAGTTTAAAACTGTCGTTCGTGTTGAGGGGATGTTTTTGCTTGTTATAATGCAAGTTGGGGGTAAATGTGTTAGTTGCTGAGTTCAACGAATCTGTAATGTAATGTAAGTAGTCTATTCGAGGTTCGTCAGTTGCTTCTACGCTGCTGTTCAATGTAACATTATTTCGTTGTAATCAGCTAAGCAAGTACGTAACTATGAGCAAACGATTTATTTCATAACAAATACTTACAAGTTGGAGATTAATTGAAACAAAATCAGAAAGATTTTCAGCGGTGAAGTTCATCGTTCGCTGTGGGCATGGTTGATTTGCTCATTGCGTGATCTTCATTCATTATTTACCTTCTCCACTTTGTCTGAAGGTGGCGGTTGTTCTGGTTGTTTGCTGGTTGCTGGCGATGTTATCCTCAAAACTGATGAATAAATGAACCAATGAATGCTATCCACAATTACAAGTGCTTGATATGTTTTAAAATTAAATACAGAGTAATCCTCTCTGAATTTTAAAGAGTCAGAACAGATTTTGAACAGAAGAGAGCTTTCACGCTTAAATATCATTTATATATTAATGTTAATAAAATAAACTAACTAAATAACAAATTAATTATTGATCAAATGATTTAACTAATGATATAAACTCGCAATAAAACTTCTGTAACTGGACAATAACAAATATTTCCATCAGATTAACTATCAACAAGAAATGTGGCAGAATATTTCTCAATAGAAGACTGTGGTATAATGAAACTTGATGTTCTACAAAGTGAGCTTATAGAAGAATACTCGTACGTAGGTACATGCAGGCGCTGAAATAAGGCATGTTGCATGTTGCATACGTGTGTATGAAATATATGGCGTGTGATCCCATCCTATGCATGTTCTGTACGTTGTACATGTGTATGTAAATATAACGAACAGTATTTACGCATTTAAATGTGTCGTACACATATACATTCGTTGTAACTATTTATACATATATTGGTACTATTTATACATATATTAGTACTATTTATACATATATTGGTACTATTTATACATATATATGCATGCATGTGAAGTTAGGGTATGATATTTGCGTCCAAATGTGAATAACTGGCATAAGAATAGAATGAAACAAATATGGACCAGTCGAATGAACATTCACTGGAATGAAACAGTTTGTGATCGATGGAGGTTCCTTCATGTGGCTATCAAATGAATTTTTCGATTAAACTTTTTAATATTTTTGATACTTTTCAAAAGTTGGGGCAGAATATTTAAAATATTGAAAAATAGACCAAACCAACTATGAATCAATCAATCCAAATGTTTCTGCCAAAACAATATTTTTAATATAAAATAAGAACAATAATAAATTGTTAGTCAATACAGAAACCAGCATTAAATAAAAAAATAGACTTGTTCGTACAACAACCAAATAACATTTTCTCCATTCAAGCACTCTGTAGAAATCACTGAAAATCCATCTACGTCTCATTCCCACGTGATGTCACCTCCTAACGTTCCTCAGAAAGCCAAAGTGTAGTGTAGACCTCGACCTGAACAATGCCGAAATCATACAATATGTCCAAACACGAAACACCCAAATACGACAATACAAGTCCGTGTATGCATATATCAATAGATCTAATTCTGGTTCCTATTGTTCTTAAAATCAGCAACCTGGTACGCAACAACCTTGCAACAAACCGTCCGATGCAACTGACCATCTCAGGAACTTGTAGAAGAACGATACAACAACCAGCTTCAAGGGCTATCCAACAGGATACCACTGCCAACCATGTAAGACCATTCCATACAGATAATACAATTCTGTTGATAAAAATGCTGTTTCTAATGTTTTTTTGCATACGAATTACCCATCCAGTTAGAAATCCCGACTACGTTTGTTTCGCGAGTCACTGTTTAGTGTATCTACTCCTATCATGCCTGAAACAAAGGGGTCTGTTATTTGGAAGATTTGGTCCTGCGTTTCTAGTGTCTGGACTGGAAAACAAAAACACCTCTCTGCTTCTTACATGCTTGCGATGTCTGGATCCACGCCGTGTACCTGTGTTGGTACTTTGAAAGTTAACTTCAAAAATGGTTTGCCAAAGAAATCGTATTAAAAGCAACTGTTATTGAAAATATCAACGGTTATATCGTTAGATACAATGTGGCATACAGAAAAGTCTATAGATATATGTAGTTTGAAAATATCATATAACATAACCTGAAAGATATCATTAGCTAAAAACACTTGAAGCACTCCAGTCTAGTCTCTAGTCAGTCTAGGTCTGCCTGACTTTGCCGCTGTTTATGACGTAATAATTAAAAAGATTAAAAAATAAATAAGATCTAGAATTTCTGCCATCTGTCGATCAGCTAGATCTAAAACCCACTAGCTTCGCAACAAGATAGGAAAAAATATTGTTATAATGTTTTCTACAAATGGTTTTCAAGAATGTTGTTGAAACTGTTGATGCTATTAAAATTTTTGTAGTGGTGTCGTTGCGGCAAGTATGTTATAAACAGTTGTATTGCTATTATTTTTCATTTGGGAAGATGTTTGTTTACAATGGAAATGTTAAGGTTTTCATAAATTTATGATTTAATTAGTATAATTGATGTTGTTGTGATTGATGCTGACATTAATTTGATGTTATGTGTTGTTGTTGTTTTTGTTGTTGTGGTTTGTTTCGCGCAACCCTGCACAACAAATTGTTCATCAGCTTGCCATCAACAGTCTCAAACTGATGAGATATTTTTCAGCCTGAATAATGTATTTGCTGACATCATATATTAAGCTGTGTAGCACCATCAATCATCCGAATCACAGCAACAACAATAACAACAACAACAACAAAAAACAACAACATTAATAATACTTGTGTTTCTGAAGCAACGTTTTAAAACCTATCACCACAATGTTTTTTTCCATACACGTCAGTCTCGTCTCGTCTCGTCTCGGTTCTCAAAATTATTTATTTCTTCGTCGTTTTTGAATCCACCACAAATAAATGTTCATAATGATATATTATGTTTGAGAACGACGTTGATGTTGGTTGTGATGATGATTGGAATGGTGATGGTGATGATAGTGACGATGATGATGATGTTGGTGGTGATGATGATGATAATGAAGATGATAGATTTCGTAATAGTAATATGATGATGATCCTAATGCAAGAGATTACATGGTAGAAACTTGAAACAGATAAGTACAGTGACGTAGATAACGATGTTAAAAGAGATAACAAATAACAAGAAAGAGTGAATGAAGAAGGATGGAAATAAAAAACAACAAAAAATAAAAGTAAACAAAACAATTGCTTTTGAAGCCATAACTTGTCGACAGTTTTGACAGTTTGATAGTTTGAAATGAGCCGAACGATCACTTGCTGACAGATGGATGATGTAGTTGCCATTTGATCTGCTACTGCCTTCTAGATCTTCATCTCACTCTATTCGTCTTTCTTCGTTCTTTCTTATTAATTTGTTTTCGTTCCGTTGGTTCGGTTCAGTTGATGTAAGGGTCGCTTGTGATGATGTCGTTGATGTGATTGTCTATTAACGTCGTTTTGTGTTGATGTAACTATGATGTGTTTGTTTATGTTTTCGATGGTGTAACTATGTTGATGTTGTTGTGTTGAGATGTTGTTGTGTTGAGATGTAACTATGTAGCTGCTGTTGTGTTGAGATGCTGTTGTGTTGAGATGTAACTATGTTGATGTTGTTGTGTTGAGATGTAACTATGTAGCTGCTGTTGTGTTGAGATGTTGTTGTGTTGAGATGTTGTTGTGTTAAGATGTAACTATGTTGATGTTGTTGTGTTGAGATGTAACCATGCTGATGTTGTTGTATGTTACGGGGATTTCAGCGTAGGATGTAGTTTTTTATTTGATGTCTTTGCCCCGTGTTGCTGCGTTCATGCATGTAGTGTCAGTGTCACTATGTTGATGTAATTGCTTTTTTGCCTAAATTTGGTTATTGATGTACTGGAATTTAATTGTTTTCAAATATAATAATAATAATAATATATTTTATGTATTTCAGCAGATGTTTGTTTATTTGTTAGTTTTTGAATTGTTCAACAGTGATGATGGTGATAGCTGTTTCTGACAAACATAATTTAATTCCCGAAGTTCATTCACGTAAGTTCACCTGCCTTTGTGTCAACTTTTAAATAACAATTAATTTTTATCATTCGTTAAATATTTATTTTCTAACATACAATGAGTTCCTGTTGTCCGTACAAATGCTTAGTGAGCCTAGATATTAAATAATGCAATTTCGTTGAAACTGCAAGGAGGGTAGCAATTGATCAATGCATTGTTTCAAAACCGAAATAAATAATGCAGGCAGTCTGTCATCTGCATTGTTAGGCTTGCCGCCGACCAGCACATTAGCAACTGACGGCATCATTAATATGATATTATAACTCACAATTAATACAATGTACTCTTTGTCAGATCATTAGAGGGCGGCTTGCTTGGACAATTAAGTTTTCGATCAGTCATTGTTTAGTTGTTTTTGGGAGGGTTGCAAACACACGCACACACACACCACACACAGACATACCCACACACACATACACATGCACACCCCACACAAACACCACACAGAAACACACACACAAACACACGCGCAAAGGTACACGATGATGATGTAAATTTTTTTGACAAACATTTGTCACATTCCTCGTTAAATATGACGAATGCGATATTTCGCATAACTCGTTCGTGTAGTTTTTTTGAAGTTTTTACGATTGTGCGTCATCGTTAGGTGACATTTTACTGAATAAATTATTTTTGAAGTGAATTAAACGTTCATCTTCCGACTGTCCATCGGCCCAAACGCGAGAGAAGTAGCTTCAACCAATGCAGACAGGTGCAGGAATATCGACTTTGATCGGAAGGATCCAAACTTGAATTCATTTTTAATAAACAATAAAAAATGTATTTAATTGATCTAATAATGGCCGGTTCGTGGTTCTGAACTGAAAAGAAACATCTGCTGATGAGAGATCCGAAACGACGAGGCTTTCTTTTAAGGAAAGTCGCAAAATTACGAATGCTCAGATCGTCAGTCGAATCTTTCGCATTTTTTTGCAAAATTTGTTTCCACTAATTATATTCAAAGGTTTCATTTCTTTTGTCAAGACGAAGTTTTATCTTTTTTAACTCAAGCTAAAAACTTTGTTGCCGTTATACCTGGCGATTGACAAAAATTTAAAGATGTTCTGTGAAGTTAATAAATAAATATTATATAAACTAGTTACTTACATAATTAAATTATTTTGATTCCATATTGAGCAGATCTTTTACTTTTTAATTGTGACAGGTTTCTTTTACTCGATACATAAATGCATGTTGAATGCGAGTTTAATGCTTTTAGAGTTGAGATATTTTTATACATTACTTATTTATTGTATATATGTACGTGCTGAAGTTTCTTCAAAAATTATTTAACTGACAATTTTTCAGAATAAATTATACTATAAAGCAGAGACTGCATGACAGAGTTTTCCAACCCGGAGATCAAAACTCGGTGGGCGTGGAATGACAATTTGACAGGGGTTGCGCAAGATCCTCAAAAAGACATGCGTTCTTGTCAAAATTTTTGACTTTTGTGTTCATAGATTTGTTATTTGTTCTCAATTTTGTACAGTTTTTCCATTTCCAACAACTTTTTGCAAAAAATATTTTTCCAAAGTTTTCTGTCCGTTAAAAATATGTATAAAGTAAAAATACATAAAGAGGTACGATGCGGACAATGGCCTTTGCAGGCTCTTGCAAGACTTAAATAATGTCCTCAAAACAGATCGGCATTTGGCTTATTATTTTATTTTGTCATGCTCATAATCCGTGAAAATCAGAGTACGTGAAAACCGTTCAAATTATGCTTAGAAACAAATAAATGCAAATATTTTAAAGATAATTTTATAAATATTAGATCTAATTTTTTAACGCAGAAAGAAATAGTGTGACGAAATGTTGCAAATTGGGACCAACCACAAAACATTCAATCATTTTTCTCTTCGGCGCGTCCATTCGAGAATTTAAATTTTTTTGATTCTCTTCATTTTAAACACTAAGAAAGCAAAAATAAACAAATAGATGTTAGTGATTGATATTAATTTTCAACCTTCAAAAAATTGTTTAGAAAAATGAAAGTTATTTCAAAATTTTGTTATACTAATCACACACATATTGTTGTAAGGTTTTAACAAGTGGTTAAGCATAAGAAGCAATGCTGTTCTGTTCACCTTCGATTGTTGATGTTTAAATTGTGAAATGAACTTGTGGAAATCTTCCGATGAAACTTTTAAAAAATTTTGTTGCAAAAAATTTTGCATATCATTGAAAATAACGCGTTTGCCTTCAAGTCTTTTTTCGCCACAATTTCAAAAGTTACCGCAGACATTCGAGGCATTCGAGTGAAACCTTGTGATAAGGACCACATGCGGTCACTGCTTTATCAATTAATTAAACATTTTATGGCTTAAAACTTATTAGTAATATGAACAAATAATCGTTAGGTAATTTCTAATTTTTTAATTTTAACACGAGCGGAGTCAAAAGGACCGGGTTCAAATGCGCAGTAAAACTTCAACGATTAACGCTAAACGTTATTGTTGCAATTTTACTTTAAGATCAAGTTGTTGTTTTATAAATGATCTAATCAGTTATGTAAAAAACACTCAGTCCACATAATTGTTCAATTTTTCATAAAAAATATCTATAGACAATAGATTTATCCCATTTAACTTTCGGATTTTCAAAAATTGCGTGTGTAAAATAAAAGAATATATTGTGGCTCAATTTTTCTAGAGATTGTTTTAGATTATTTTATAACTCAATAGCAAATTTTTACATGGGATTTTCATTTTCACAGTTCAGTAATTAATTCATGCCATACACTCAAGTTGATTATTGAAAATTTGGTCCATTTGAGATGTTACTTTACAGTTTCAAAAAGTTTCAAGGAGGAAGATCTGCAACCTCATCCTCTCTCACCTCTTCCCGAATTATTACATCTGAACGTTCAAATTGAATTCATTTTATTTGGCAGAGCATCGGAGCAGCAGTTTAGATCATCTGGAATTAAGTTTCCAGCAAGTTTTTTCGCTTGGTCGTCGCCATCATTCAGTGGAATGTTGTTTGCATCGCCATCTCCATTCCAGTTTTCCCCGTCCAATCGATGAATAACGTCTTCACCTTGAGTCGCATTTTTCAGCCTTAAATTTTTCATTTTTTTCGATAATTTGGCGCTCATTCGGTAGATGTCAGTAGGCGTGTTGGTTTCATCTTGGACGAGGAGGCTTGGGTGGTGGAGCTTGTAGGAGGTATGGTTCTCCATCATCCGCGAACTGCTGCTGGCTGGTTTCGACTGGCAAGGAATGCACGAGCACATGAGCCACTTCAGGTCGTTCTGTCATCAATTTAGTTTTGTAGTAATTTTTATAACAAATTAATTTCGAACATTTTTTTATTACAATTTAATTATTAAATTTATTCAAATTATTTTTAATTACAAATTTTCATCGATTTAGTCCCTTTCAGTTACGAATCATTTCAAAGGTTAATTTTGATTGTTTCGTTAACTTCTACACTACCCTGAATGTTTGTGCGAAAGGTGCACCAACACACACGTTCCTTCTTGCAGAATAAATTACTTTTATGGCAACATACCAAGAGCACTGCTTGCTGTCCTTATGTAAATCATGTCCCTCGCCCCATCTTAAATCAAATTTAAATTTTATTGCCGTGCTTTTTCAGTTTTCGTGGGTGCCTTATTTGATTTGTAGCTGTTTGTTGTTGACTTTTCAACGTGAATTTATTGATTTATGTTTAAAAAAATAAAACTAATTGGTTTAAAACTGTGATCATTCTTAATGTTTTTCTCACCGATAAAATGTTTGAACGCAAGCAAAAGCATCGTTTGCCAAATGTTGCCAGATTGTTGCAAGGTCGTTTGATGATCTCGCATTCGTACATCATAATCCCTTTAACAACTTACGCGTGAAAGTGGAATAATAATTGACAAAACATGCTAAAAACTATTTTTTCTAGAAAACATGCTCCCCGGCATGGTTAGCAAATATTTAATGTCCATCTCACGTAAATGAATTTAAAAACTGAACGAAGAAAACATCGCAGACGATGTCAGCAAGCACACGCCGAACACGATGGCATGAAATCGTCAAAAGAACCTCACCTGCCCCTAACCAACCTCACTAGCCCCTCGCTAAACTCACCAGCCCCTTACCAACCGCACCTGCCCCTCACCAACCTCACCTGCCCCTCACCGACCTCACCTGCTCCTCACCAACCTCACCTGCCCCTCACCAACCTCACCTGTCCATCGAGACAACCATCAGCACAGCAACTATTTCTACATTCTCCAACTAACTACCCAAGTTCGAATCATTTTCAACACTGGCACACTCTCTTAACAACTGGGAAGATATTGATGGCAATTTCATAAAAATTATTAATCGTTGCAAATTCATTGAAGAACATCAGGCAATTTAAGCAACTTGAGTGAACTCAATTTTTTGCAAAAGCAGACTGTTAAACAGACGCGCTTGAATATATTTGTTAAAATATTTCAGCGCAAGACGCAGTAACACGCAGAGTCAATCGATGAATCGTATCGTATGGCAGAGTTTGTGCAGTGCCTCTCATCGGTTGACATCGGACTGAGCAAAATTGAATTTTTTTACAAACAAAAACGTTCAAACTGCTTCGACACATTTTTTTGTCATTTTGTTCCTCCGTTTTTATTTTAAACTAATGAAGAATCGCTAACGTTGTTTGTGAGTTCTACGCTCTTTAGTGCACGCATTAGATCGGGCGAACCTTAAATATTAATTGTTATAATTATTTCTGCACCAAACGCTCAAATTTTCCATGTTGCCAAATGATCTAAAAACAGAAAATAGAAGCAATATGAAGGGACAGAGCATTTCGTCCTGAAAACTGCACTCGTACGTAAACAGTTGAATTGCAGTCGGCAAACATTTGCACTTCAATTGTACTTCGGTGTTACTTCTGCTCTACCGCTACTTCGGTGCTTAATTATTTGTACTGGCTTATTTGTTTAAGTTAATATACACACATTATACCAATGAAAAATATGATGAATATGAACTATGATGCTGACGATGACGATGATGATGATACGGTGATCATGTTGATGATGATTTTGTGACAAGAGCGCAGTTTAAGCTTGAAAGTGTATTATTAAAAAAAAGTTAGTTATTAAAAAAAAGTTAGTTATTAATTTGCTCATCTTTAGGAAGTTTTCAAAAGTTATCACGCAGCTCTCATTTTGTTGACCTGAAGTAAACTCAGGCCCTACCAATTCAAGAGACATCAAATTTCTCCAAATATTGAGAAATAAAAAAATTAGGACTATTCAATTATTCATGATTAAAATTTAATAAATGTGAACAGATGTTCAAACTGCCCGAGAGAGACTTCCACGGAGATTTTCTGTCGATGCTGGTCCGTCGTCGTCGCTCTTTCCTCCAGGCATGGGACGAGGGCACATCCCGGAGACATGCCACGAAGACTGCCAGGAACAAGTTTTAAACCGGAAGTTTGAGAATGACTGTAGTAGAGAAGAGTAGAGAATGACTGCTGCAACCAACTACCTTCTGATGCCGTTGATGCTATTTACATTTCTAAACCATTGCTAGATGTATTTTTGGTGATATGATTGGAGCATAAACTCGTAGTTCAGATTTTACGCTGCTTATTAGACGTCTTAGTATCAGCTTAAACTGTTCCTTCAAATTTTTGGCATTAATTTGCTTGTCGATCGTCTTTTCAATTTTTCTCAATAAGATTTTTTGATGATTAGACCTGCATCAACATCGGAACATTTCAAATCAATCAATCAATCACTCAACCATTTAGTTTGTAAAGCGCCATTCCGACCTTGTTCAACAGCGCACCTCAATGAAGACAAACATAGAACCAAACGTTCGAATGAACCAACATAGAGCTATTCACAATTATCAATGTTTGACGAAACATTAAAACATAACAAAAACTAATTCAAAATATGTTTAGTTTGTTGTTACCCATTTAAAATGAACATTACTGAAGGGCATCTATTGAAATTTGCAAAAAAATATTTTTTAATAAATAAAAAGACTGTCAATGGTATATACACAAGTTTGCGTTCATTTGATGATGATGACGATGATGATGACGATGATGATGATGACGATGATGATGACGATGATGATGATGACGATGATGATGACGATGATGATGATGACGATGATGATGACGATGATGATGATGACGATGATGATGACGATGATGATGATGACGATGATGATGACGACGATGATGATCAGTGAGATGCATCCAAGTGAAGAAAGTGAAAATTCATCAAAATCATCCGGTTGAAAATGTTTTAAATAATTGACTTGAAGCTTGCTGTAACCATCATTAAAAATATTGCCAACAAATAAAAAATGATGACATTTTTATCTCCAACAGCAACATCAACAACAACATCACTAACAACATCGCAAACAACATCGTCAACAACAACATCAACAACATCAACAACAACAACATCACCAACAATATCAACAACAACATCAACAACCATAACATCATCAACAACATCAACAACTACAACAACATCAACATCAACAACAACATCAACAACAACACCAACAACAACAACAACAACACTAACAACAACATCATCATCATCATCATTGTAAGCATCATCTTCTTTATCTTCAATGCTCACATCCACTCTGCCCACTCAATATAAAATCGTTGCAGTATTTTCGCTTTAATGTTCAATCACTGTCCTTTATTTTGTCATCACCATCGTCATCATCACCATCGTCATCATCACCATCGTCATCATCACCATCGTCATCATCACCATCGTCATCATCATCATCATTATTACCATCGTCATCATCATCAATGACTTGGTGAGTTTGTGACGTCATGCAAATTAGGATGTCACCTCTATCACATCATCATAATTTTTTTATGATTTTCATTGTTGACATCATCTTCATTATCACCAGACCATCTATCTTCACCACCACCACCACACCACCACCATCACCATCACCAACCCCACCATATAATTGTTTTTCCCTCAACAACTTAAATCTTCCTCATCACCTTCACACTCCTCATAATCATCCCCACCATCACCTTTTCAACGTCATTCATAAAACTTCTCATGAGATAAGCTACCTCCAAATATATCTGGTCAGCAAAGCAGAACCACCAGACTGTCAATTAACTTTAAATAACGCAATAACCACCCAACAACCACCCAACAACTATTTGATTATCTTTAATCCAGCTTGCAAATGTAGAAGCTAGCTTGCATGTAATACACCAATCGTTGAGATCTAATTGATAAGTGAAGAATACTTTCATGCTAGAATGTTCAGGCAGTAATGCATTGCGGGGAAGGTGGGTGCATGCAGAGGAGATGCCTGCCTGCCTGCCTGCCTGTCTTCATTCTCCTTCCACTTCTGCTGTTCCAGTTTTGTTGTGGTCACGTTTTGAAGCAACTCCGTGTCTGCGTGCTCATGCAAACGCGTGAAACCAACGCATCTACGTGTTCATTACACACAACTTGTAAATGTCGAGCGTTCCAAAGAAGTGAATGCACATTTCAAAAAATTATAAAGTTGGTCGTTTCCAGTATTTAAATTTGAAAAATGTAAAAATATTTCTATACATCACTTTTTTTGTTGTCTGTTTTCAAACTGACCTCCGCTTTGACCCGGACTCTGCTGACGAGGCAAGTTCAAAATGAAATTCATTGTCTACTGCTTATAAAAGTAAAGAGTGTTCAAACATTAATTTGAATTCATATTTGAAAATTTGAAATAAACAATGCAGGACGGTGTATTGAAAGGTCTCCACGAATTAAGAATAATTTTTTCTTAATTAATTCTCAGAGGTATCACCCTCAACACACACACACACACTAACACACACGAACACACACACACACACATACACTAACACACATACACTAACACACATACACTAACACACATACACACACACACTAACACAACGCACACACACACACACAGCTTACTTATGTGTAACAGTTTCAACAGTTGCAGAGTTTTCAACAAAATATGACTAATAATACATTTCAAAACAAAGTAAAGGAATTATTTTCAAATTAGACTTCAATCAACTTCACAGAAATTTGTGTCTTCATCTTGCTGAAAAACAATTAAAAAATACCAATTCAACTTTTGGCGTGTTTACAAGGTGATTTCTGCGCTATGGTATTTTTCTGTTTCTACGAACGTTTGGAACCTCTCTGAAATAACATTAAACAGTTTGTACTGGCACATCATTGCGACATCGTGCCACTCCTCTTAACGACTCCTACCGCCAGGTCGACTCGCTGCAATGCAACCGCCACACACGCTAATGTCAATGATCCGGAGATCAAAACGAAGGTGTGTCCCATTTTACTGGGGTTGGTGCTGACAAAAAAATTTCAAACACTTCCCATTAATGGAAGGAAAAAATGGGATAAGTTGTTAATTAGTCAGAAAGTTATAAATAATTTGTTGTTTATATAAACATGTATGTCATATAAACGGATCGTAAATATTGTTAACGGATAAGCAATTATCCGTTACAATGCCGAATAATCCCGTTCGCTCCCACTGCAGATTACAACTGCTGCTGAAGAAAGATGAACATTCCGTTAGAAGGCAACTATCAAAGAACGATGAGATGACAACGCTGTTAGTTGGAAACCAACATTCAACAAATCATGAAAAAGCTATACATCCTTCCTTCACCAAAGATAAACACTCTAGCGATTTTTCAATCTTCATATAAAAAACATAAGCGCTGTAACCATGTTCTATTGGTCAGTTAAACAATTTGTTTGACAATTTGAATTTAAACTGAAACTTAAATTTATTTGAATGACATTCAATGTTGTTGTTGTTAATAATTAATAAAAGTAAAATTGAGTTAACAAATTTTTATCCAGAATTTCTGGAAATATTTGCTTCGTAAGAGCTTACAATTCATTTGCCTGTAAACCGTAAAACCGTAAATAATTTGAGATAGAAAAGTATAAATTTTTTTGTTCATATGAACCGGGGAAAAATTAAGTAAGAAAGCTGTAGCATTTCCTTCTTTCTCTCCCTCTCTGTTTCTCTCTTAAGATATAAGTTCATATACGTAATGATCATTTGCAAAGTTGAAAAAAAACGCTCTTCAAACTAAATAGATGTGTCAGATATTGAGACATCATTCTCATTTTCACTTCCACGGGCGGTTGATGAGCGGGCCTTCCAGCAAAACCCTCCCAGCTGTTGGCTGTTGCTGCTGGATGCGCATTGCATTCCTGACTCGAGCACGCTTCAGTCGTGATGAACCATTCTTGTTTTTAAGAGTTTATACATTTGTCACCGCCGTACAACAACAATATTGCAGACGTTTCTTCCCCAGTCAAGTCGGTCTGAAATTTTTATTCGTTTTTTATTTGGAAGCGAGCAGAGGGACGTGACAGATCATCGATGTTGATCGATCTCAAATGTTCCTCAATGTCAGCTGCTGCATCACATCACATCAGCACATCCTGCAAAACATTTCGTTACGTTGCTGCTGTGAAACATTGAAATATTTCACTTGCACTTCTCTTTGAGTCACTCATCAGTGCCAATAAAAACAGCTTTAGGCAAACGTTTTTAATTTTTAACTGTTTTAAATATTCTTTTTATTACGATCGCTGTTAGCGTTCGAATCTTTCAGTTTTCACTGATTTCATTTTGCATGCTCATTGTTGTTGAAATTGCCAGCTGAATGCATGCAGATTGTTGCTTGAACATTAAAAGCCTTTCAGTTCAATGCTCTTAAACGAATAACCTGATTATTTATCACAAGTTTCGTAATCTAGGATTTATTTTTGTCTCCAACATGCCTCTTTCTTATCCGATTAACGGTGCTCATTAACTTCTACCGTACTTATAAAGTAATTGATGAAAAAGGAAAACTTCTGAAGTATTCCATTTTTTGCTTTTTGTCCATATAGCATGTACCAAATAATGGTAAGTCTACAAAATAAATATTGACTAGTGGCATATATACAGAATATATATTCTATATATATATGATCAGTGGCAAGTTGTTGGGTCTGCTCGGTGCTCACTCAAACATGGCGTGGTCTGTGGGGCATGAGGAATTGTCTTTCTTATTCATGGGCTAACTTTTACTTTTTTTTCAATATTTTTGATTTTAGATAACTATTTAAATTTTTTGTTTTGTGATTTTAATAAAACTACTAAAAATTAACAGTTCGTTGTACTTCTCAGAATTGTCAGATTTTCAACATTTATCTTTTTCCACATTCACCACATTGCATTCAACATTCACATCTTTCCACATCCACCACAGCCTCACACTACACGGACGATGACCTGAAATGTTACTCCACTCTCAATTTGTTTGCACAACAATCTCCAAAACCATCAGCGCAATATCAAACTGAAACATCAAAAGTTATAAACTTTTTGCATCCTCGCAACACAAAGGAAAATGCAGTTAGGCAGGAAGTGCTGTCGATTTGCATATTCCTAAAAACTCTTTGTTACTTACTACAAAACATAAAATAAAAATAACAGGCACACCGATATAAATCTAACATGCCATTGAAAAAATAGTTGTTTGGTTGTTTTCTTTTTATAAAGAGCCGACGAGCGTGCGTCAGTCCACTCAAATATTTGTATGCTCAAGGCTGAAACGAAGACTGCCGATGTGCAACAAAAACATGGCACTCCTGCGATGCGAAATTAGATCGGCCATTTGTTCGCGAAGCATTGTAAAAAAAACAATCCTGAATTGAGTTAGGCTTTTCATCGGTAACAAACACGTTGGTCAGTTTTTTATTTTTTGTTCTCTATTTTTATTATCGACAAGTTTGTAAAATAGATAAACAGCTTCATATTCCAAAGTTCAAATTTTTTTTGTAATTACTGTTACACGTTGTTGGATGCGAATAAAAAATATGAGAGTTGGTCGATTCCGTGCAACTTACTTTTTATGCATAATTCAAGTTTTATATTATAGTGTTATTATATTATGATATATTAATTTGAAACAATTATAAAACTAATTGAAACGACATATTCATGAAAATATTATTAATAAAAATATAAGCTACAATATTAATATAATATTTATTATAGCTGGAAACCATGTTTGTTTAATTGCACTAGAAACATTTGAATCACTCCAATTGGATTTTTAAATATTTTTAATCAGTCGTTATTAATAACTGTTTGGCATACTTCATCATTCACTGATAACATGTATATATAACTCAGTTATTAAATCGACATTTGCCATTTATACACTGTACAGCTAATTTTAGGTAATCTACAGCGAACACTCATGCTAAATAAGAAGCAATGTGGTTGTTTTACTGTGCATGAAATTAATTTCATTTAATTTCTTTTATTGATCTTTTGTTTCATTAACTATGTATCATTTTTATTTCATTTTATTTTGGTTTTTTTTGCAAAATAAAAAAGCATTGTACCAAAATTACAACGAACTCTGACGATAAGGCTGTGAATCTCTGCTAACTTGAAAATTTCGAAAAACGTTTGACTAATTAATAAAATAATTTAATATTCAATATAGCGGATGGCATTGCAAAGGCGGAAAATGAGGTTCAATTATGCATCAGCGTTCACGAAAGACACGTAAGAACTACTTTAAATAACAAACAACCTCACAAACCCACATCAGTCCTGGAACAACAGACATATCCACTGTCAGGCCAACCAGCCTAGTTTTCAACAGACACATAAGAATCCTTTTTTCTGAGCTTCGAACCACCCGAGGTGGTCAGAAGCAAACGTCTACTTCCAATTACAGCAGCAACCACAACTAGGCTATAAGCGACGACAGTATTTTAGGTTCGTACGCAGGTTCCCAAAAATGATTAACAACCACTTAACCATAATTTACGGTCTTATCAAACTTCAAAAGGATATAAAATATAGACATGATAGACATGCATACATGATGCATATAGACATGCATACATGATGCAAACCTACATAAATTTTTAAACCTTTTGCCGACCTGCTTGTGCACCTCTGTATACATACTCACGTACTTGTAGATGCAAGTTATGATCTCTTGTGCGAGTTTCCAAATGAAAGAGGAAATAAAAAACATGCATACATACAAACATAAACGGAAATGTTATAACAATGATCATAGGTTGCCTAAACAACCTACGCACATTAAGTGTTGTAATGAATGCCGCTTGGCCCTCATACATTTCAATTTATTCTGCTGTCCTAAGAAAATTTATTCTTTCAATTTCAATTAAAAGTACAGCCAAGATGACAAAAGTTTAGTGTATGTGTGCTTATGTAACTGTGTATATGTGCGGTATGGGCTTATAAATCTACAATTCATCATTCATCTATCATTCTAACCCTAACCCATTGAGCCACAAAGGCTGTACTATCCGCACAACACGAGCATGCACGTTATGCATGCACGTTGATGGTCATTGAGTTTCGGAGAGACAGTGTTGGAACCATGCCACTACGTAACAACAGCGCGAGACATTTGCGCTTCTACCGACTGAGCTAACTCGCCAACGACGATTTTTCACGTTTTATGTTTAGGTAATCATTAAAATACTAAGCGACCAGTTCCTGTCATGATCTAACGCAAATTTATTTTCAAAATAAAATTAAATCTAAACAATGGTGACACGAGAAGAAGAATTTTATTATTTTTCTCTAGCAACAGCCCAGCAGAGCACACGTTTATTGGGTTGTATGTTAATGGGCTGATGCACGGCACAAGCATCTTGAAATGTTTGAGCCATGTCGCCAGCGATTTGCAATCCTGGCCAACATCGTTATTAACATAGATTACGTGTTTGTTCTTCGTTATAATTGCTATTTAGTTATGTTTTTGTGTTAGAAGTACTGCGTTACTTCAAGCTTGTTTATGTGGTCGCATTCAGTTGATCGTGTTTGTTCTTCGTCATAATTGCTATTTAGTTATGTTTTTCTGTTAGAAGTACTGCGTTACTTCAAGCTTGTTTATGTGGTCGCATTCAGTTGATCGTGTGATAGAGTTGCATCACATCATCATCACATCATCATCATTATCATCATCATCTTTACATTAACATCATCACATCAAGGTTGGTTTGGTTTGCTTTCGTATTCATGTTTGTTTGATAATTTGTTTCTGCCTGCTCGTTCCGGCTCTATTTATCATGGACAGTTTTAAGCAAATAGAAATAATCGAGATATATGGTGTGATCTTTAAAATGTTTTTTGAAATCTTGGTGCTGGCTCTTTTTAGCATAATTTATCCAAATATTCTTTGTTAAAAAAATATGCATTTGTAGGTTATTTTTGTGTTTATCAAATTTTTATTGTTAATTTATAAAAAAAAATTAATTAACATAAATATATTTATTTATTTCAATTGATACAAACACGTTTTAATTATATAATAATGTATTTTCCGGATTAAGTAGCTTCATTATGGTTTGAAATCGCAATTAAATTTTTTTTAAATTAGCTTCAATAATTTTTCAACTAAAATAAACATCACGTAATAAATTCTATTAATTTGAAAAATTTGAAGAATGTGAAAAGATATGAACAGAAATAAATGATGGACTAACGCGAAAACTTTCGTTGAAGAAGCCGTAGATGATTGGGTTGACGAAGCTGTTGGACATGGCCAGCCAGTGGGCGCAGCAGTAGAAGGCGATGTAGACCATCTTCTCGGGCGGTGTCCACACGACGTCCATGTCGCGGTAGAAATTGAGGACGAAGAAGAAGAGGTGGAGGGGCAGCCAGCAGACCCCGAAGAAGGTGACCACCAGCACCAACATCTTGATGACCTTTGTGGGTCGTTCATTGTTTATTTGTAGGTTCGTTCGTTGTGTTAATTCAATTATCAATTTGATTTAAGCAAACAAATTGCGCGAAATTAAAAAAAAACCAAAATGTGAAATAATGACAATATCTCGTTATGAAACATTTTAGCAAAACATTTTGTTATAAAAATAAAATAAAATTATTTATTTTTCTTCTGTTCAAAAAGATGACAGCAACACCAATTAATTACGGAGCGGATGATTTGATGATGCTCTCTACCCCAAAAGACATGCATGCAGTCTCACATGTCTTCGTAACAAACACGTAAACACACAAACAAACAAGCAAGCAAACAAAGAAACGTGGACAAAGTCAAGAGCCGACATAAATACATATGTGCACACTGCACGCACATATTTGAAACTTCGGCACAACAGGCCTCCCTCATGGACATCAAGAAAGATTCTATTAAATGTATTAAATTAAAAGTTTGAAATTAATCTCTTTTACAATCACAAAGCAAAAATATTTAACTTTCAAAAACTGGAATGGATTCTCAGCCGTCAATAAATTGAATTTGCAAATGACAACCAGCTCTCCATCACTATAAAAGAACATATGACTAACAGCGTAGGAGAACGTGGAAGAACACAAAACTGAAACTTTTTTAAACACCTCAACGACGTTTGAACCTTCCTAGGATAGCAAAAAGTAATGCAACTAAACGCAAAACTTCACGCCAACCAAACCGCCGAGAGAGACCAGATTAATTTATTTTGCAAAAGTTTTTTCCTGCTAAGCTGGCGACGAAAGATTGTGAATAAGAAGGATGGATGAAATTTTGCTCGAGAAGTTCGCTGCGAGGTTTGCCTGCATTTTTCTATAATTAAATTCGATTAAATTTTATAGCTCTTCACATTGAAACTTTGCCGTCTTATAAAAACGTCTCAGCCAAAACAAAAACGTGGCATTCTGTGGTTTAATTTTCTGTAAGATTTTTATTTGTTTAATTTTAGTTTTTTGGTTATGCGTGTGTGTGTTTGTGTTTGTGTGTGTGTGTGTGTGTGTGTAAATTACGATCATGGTAACAAATTTAATTCAAAAGTTGGCGTTGAACGTGTGAGGGGCATTTGTTGTGGTCGGTGGCCGGTAGTTGGTGGTTGGTTGCCGGTTGTTGGTGGATGGTAGTTGGTGGTTGGTGTTTCGCGGCAGTCGGTGTCGATTTGAAAAGTTTTGAATAATTTTCGTTAACATTTCTAGATTTGTATACAACAGCCCTTCTTAGATGTGTATTTAATACAAATGATACAATATAATTTTATTTTTATTTCAAAGTTGAATATTTAAAATGAAACACATGCATATGGCAAAAATGGTGGCCAGAAAATGATTGGTGCCAAAATTAAATGTAACTTCGCTTCGTGGTGAAACAAAGGGGTAACAAAATCATTGGAGAAAACATTAAATAACAACAAAATAAAACAAAAATATATCTCTATGTTACAAGTGACATTATATGAAAAAATTTCAATATTTTCAAAAAATTTCAATTACATCCAAAAGCTTCATTAAAATAGGATTAGTGTAGCATTTCTCAATCCATGCTCTCCATGTTCCTTGAAATTTATCAACAAATTTATCAAACTCTCATCCAATGGTTTTCCAACTTTCAAAAATTCATTAAGGTCCTAGGAACACTATGAAGTTGAGTGAAAAATGAAACTATTGAGATAAAATTAACGAAGTGTATCGCTCAAACCATAAACAAACCAGATCGAAGAAGTGTTTGTTATCTTCCTTTCAAATCTCCCACAACTCAAACTGCTCGTAAACAATGGAAATAAATAAATGCAGAAAAATAAGTAAATGAAGTCATTGAGATCAATCTTAAACCAACTAACTAATTTATTCCAATCAACTAACTGATACCTCATCCACTTGCATGAAGCCTGATTTTTTGTTGAACTTCACGTAGATTTTTATGTCATAATCTTTCAAATAGTAATTAATTAACTTTAAAATGCACTTAACGAATAGCTATCGTAATTAAAAGAAATTGTATAAGAAAGGTTGACCTTTCACAGAGAACCATTGCTCGATCTAGGAAGCAATTAAATTAATGCACTCACAGGACTCGGTCACTTTGTACTGCAAGTTTCAAGATGTCTGGATGGCAGTTTCATTTCAAGATGTTACGCTGCTTGTCTTGATCGACTTGATATAAATATGGAAGGCTTTGCCAGCGGCTCTTGAATAATATCAGGTTTATAAACTTGGGTCAAGCTCGGCTTTATTAAAAAAATTTTTCTCGAAGTTTCAAAATGAAATTGAACATTAAGAACATTTATACGGTTGTGTGCCTATTTTTTATTACTACCACTAAAAGAAGTGTTTTGCAATAGTTTTGTGAACGCACCGACATATTAAATGTAATTAGTTTCAATAAAACGTTATGAATTATTCGTAATGACCTATAGATTTATATTTTTGAATGAGATAACATAGAAACGTGTAACGTATCATGTAACATGATACAACAGCATGTCACGGCACAACACAACGGCGTGTAAACACGTTAAGTGGATCGAGGAATAATAATGTAAAAAAAAAACAGTTTTTGAGTAGAGATTTTTGTTTGTATATAAAATATTAGAATAAATATTTCCAGAGTTGTGCTTGATATGATGGCAGTGTGTGACGTGACATCTGGCGTCATGCGGCTGGTCTGTGCTGTCATATTTGTCGTGATGCAAGCTGTGTTGATGTCGCTTGTGTTGATGCAAGTTGTGTTGTTGCATCTACTCAAACCTGCCATGCAACAACAATCATACAAATCGACACCATAGCATTAGAGAATCTTCGCGCACACTAAAGCATCATTACATCAACAACAACAGCAACAACATCATCAACAACATCAACATCGTCATCAACGACAATAACAACAAATAAACAAATGAACATAAAAATTTTGTTTCGTCCCACTGCAGAACGGAGCATATTTAGGCGCAGAGCTGCTTAATACGTCACAAGATTTTTGTTGTCACGTGTTTCCTGCTACAAAACGCTGATCACGTGATCGAGACACATTATTTGCTCCATTGCTCATTCTCTAGACTGTCAATAACATAAATAATTTAGAAAAAGAATGTTTTTGGAATTTTTGCCAAATATTTTAAACGATTTTTTGCTGTTCAGACGTGCTTTTTGTTAAAATAACAAACAATAACAAACAATAATAAATTTCGAAGTACCAATAAATACCATTATGTGAGTGTTGCGTTTGAACGCTGATAGAAAGTATATAAGTGTCTTTGTTTGTGTGTGTGTGTGTTGTGTGTGAGTGTGTGTGTGTGTGAGTGTGTGTGTGCCTAAATTGTCAGACCTTGGTACAACGAACTTGATGGTTCTAGGAGGGACTAAAATCGTTATATATAAATTTCGTTATATAGAATTTGTTTTGGAAAAATTCTATATTGCTTAAAATATGTTTATACGCTATATATTTATAAAAAAACAACAAAATGTTATAATACATGATATGATCGCAAACAACAAACTTTTGAAAGTAAAGTTTATTCTTTATTCCATGCAACGATATTCCAATTCTATTAAAATTAATTGAAGCAGAATACACACAAATTACTGAAATACTAGAACAAGAAGTAAAATGGTCCTGGAAAAGTGAAGGAGTTCGAAGCCGGCTCATTTTCATTTACAGAAGGTTTGCCGGTCGAATATTTTTTTTCTTTTCTAAATTTTGTTCGTTGTAGAAAAAATCATTTCGTTTTATAGAAACAGTTTTATATGTTAAACTTTAAAGGACATAACAAATCGTTATATAGAGTTTTTCGTTGTACAAAAGTTAGTTATAAGGAGGTCTGCCTGTATATAACAAATGTTGTACGTACAGATAGGATCTCAATGAAGTGAGCATCTAAAGACATGCATGCAAGTCTCCAAGCGACAAACACAAATGATTGGCAGAGATTTGTATATAAGATAAGCTCCATATATTCAGCACTTGAGTTTGAAGTTGTCTTTGAAAAAATTGCTCTACAAATAGTTCCTGATGTCTCTTTTCTAAAATATTTTCAATTCAATGTATTCAGAAAATTTAAACATTTCTTCATTGCCCTCACGGATTAAATAATATGTTAGATTCAAATGCCTTCCTTGTAGATATAACTTCTTGACTGGGTGCCTCTTCTTCCACTTCCTCATTTTGATTGTCCGCAATGAAATTTTTCAGCAATCTTTCTAATGCTATTCCCACCATCTAACCTCTGGCACAACCAGCATTTGCGCTTTCAAGGACTCAATTTTTTTTACCTGCAATGCCATTATTGATGATGAACAACTTATTAACGAAGAAAGTAACGAGAACACGGTAAATAAAGCAAAAAGGAACTGTTTGAAAAGCGAACCAAGAATTATTAATAACTTGTTAGCACATTTTTGTAAATTTAAAAAGCATTTGGTTGTAAATTTTTCGCTTTTCAAGACTTAAGTCATTTTGTACTAAAAGTCTGTCCGTATGTCGTTAATTCAAAAAATTCGCTCTTTATGAATAATTAAACATGCAAAACAATTCCGTGCCAAGCAACACTGTCTGTTACTCTTCACTGTCCGCATTTTTAGGATCTCGCTCTTGAGGACTTGTGCTCTGTTGAAATTATTAACAACTTCTCAACCTCCAGTGGGCAACCGACGACTATTTGATAGAAATCCACAAGTTGTAGTATTAAAATTAATTGTGTATTTATTGAAGCATTGAAACTGTTGCCTCACACATGAAGTTATTTTTAGTTTATTTTTTTATAATGACCTCCTCTAAATAAGTTGCTATGCAAAAATGGAAACAAATGTGAACTTGATCCCCAATAAGAAGAAAAATAAGTTCTAGTTCACACGCAGACAAGAGCAAATAGGCAAATTTAAATGCAATAAATTGCGTGACGTGTTTTGCACTATGCAAGGATCGCACTTGAATGTTTTTAACAAAAATTTGTTTACTATGAAG